TTGAACCTTTTTGCTTTTCTACCTTCATCCATCATGCTCTCTGGGAAATGCTGGCCCAAATATAGGAACTTTCAGGTATAATCTGACTCAGTCATATCACCCTGAACTAGGTGTACAGACTTCATTCCCTTCAAATGCGAAAAGTGCTATGGGAGATACTCGGTATTGAAGGCTTATCAGAAATTATTCCCAGATGACTGGGATGGGTAGGGTGGCCTGCTCTAACTCTCACTATCGACCTGCTTCACCTACGGACATGTAGGGGGTAAGTACAACCTTCTATTCGGAAACCACTCTAAGAGTTGCGAAGACCTTATCTGTCTCTGGTAGCTAATGCTCGGCCTATTCGAAGAAGGATGCCCTTGTAAATGTAGATGAATTTAGTCTCTTATACCTCTCGACATAGTTGGGTCCATCATGGATGGAGCCAGACCCCGTTAAAGAGGGACTAGATTGTGCTGGGGAGGCACTAGGTGGTCCCGTGGCGGCACCTAATTGTATGATGCGAGCACTGGATTGTACTGTGGCGGCAGTAGAGGGCCAGACAATTCCCTCCTCTCTTCCCAGGCCTGCTGGGCAGAGATAAATCTTTCCAGCATCCTGAAGGATTGATCGACATCCTCTCCTCATATCCTGGTACCTCCACTTCACAAGAAATTGTTAAGCGACATGTTGAGTTTAGTATCTTTAAGTTTTTGTATAAGAAATGGTTCTGAGGAACGCGTCTCTGATACCAACTGTAAGGACCCAGAACTAGAAGAAAAATAAATTCATAAATTTAATGCGGAAGTGATTAATAAAGTTAGAGTTTACATTTCTTACACAATAATTTAAAATACCCAATAGGACTACGAGAATGTCCCTCATAAAAGATAAACAAAAATTAAAGAAATAAAACGAAAAACGAGTAACTAAACATCCTAGGACAACCTTCACTAACACTTGAAGGGAGTTTGGATAGTGAACTACTCACAATCTTCTTTGTGATCGGAATCTGAATCTTGGTTCTCTTAATTTGAAATAATTAATGAAAAGGTGAGATACACTACCCCAGTAAGAATATCACATTAATCACAGATATAAAAAATTAAAGATTGGTAAAAATCATAAAATAACTAATAGAGCACTTAATTTGAGTAAATTCATTTAATATAAAGAAGACCGTTTATTCCGAATTTATTGTAACGAGTTTTTCAAAATAATCTATGAAGATTCATATCCATATCACTCTTCACTTTCACATATAAGAGAATAAAAAATAATAACTTTCCTTTCTTACCTGCTTACTAGTACCTTGCGGGGTCTATAGGGGTGTCTCTCTTACTCGTGAATCCAATAACCAATTTTAATAATTAACCGGTAGTCCCCATACCCCATCCAGTAATGGGCGCCAAACATTCCATCATCTCGATACCCCGTCCGATATGAGGGTGAATCATATCTCCGAAACCTTTTCGATAAGGGACTTCCCAGCTCTATCCGACCGAGGTAAACGTTTATGGTAGGATTCCCTATGTACTGGGCCTGTCTAACTTTTCTCTGGTATCCAATAAGTCTTTCACATATAAATTTTCATCAATAAACAACCAACAATACATATCAATATCTCATATCACATTCACATATCAATTGAACTATATTCATGCTGATGGTATATAACCAAAATAACCAAATAAATCGATAAAATCATTGAAGTTACAAATTAAGAACAAGTACTATATGAAAATTAAGCAAGTAGAACAATACACAAAATAAAGACAACTGATAACTAACCAGTTTTGGTTCCACTAGTGACTTGTAATTATTTTTAAAGTTTTTCAAATTTTCACAAAACATAAAATTATACATTATTAAGCCTTAATTTATTGTAAAGGAGAATAAGGTGAGAGATTCTTACTCGGATCGGCGTTTCGAGATGTCGAGCTATCTACTACGCCTCCTAACAGGTATTGGTTTCCCTGAATTTTTTATGGAACTCAAAACACTCGTTACACATAAAAATACTCCAAAAATCTAAAATCGGTGTCCAAAACTCATTACGGTCAATTTTTAGTGTTCCGGCACCAGGATGCTGCCGGCTCCGCCGCCCACAGTGGTGATATGCCTCGGCCTACCCGGTTTTGGTCAATTTTGACTGGTTTTGGCCATATTCCTACAGAAAAATACGTTAGGGATTTCGGTTGGTCGTAAAATCTAAAAAAAAACTGAACCTACCGGCGGAGGGACCTCCGGGTGCGGCAGCTCTGCCAGTTTTCCTTTGCGGTTGAGGTTCTTTCTTCAGCTACCATGCACATAAAAAATTGGTGAGCACAATGATAAAAAAATCACGTAAAACGGGAATTGGGAAGGGGCTCGTCGGATGGGTTTTGGGGTTTTTACCGTGGCGACTTTGTCGGACTTTACCCATGGTTTCTTGCTTACCTGCAATTCCTCTTGCTCCGATTTGGCCACAAAAGTACTCAAAATCGAATTTCGAGCGGGTAGTAGGAAATTTTACCTTTTTTTTAGCGATCATTCTCCTTCTCCAGTGTTTGATTCTTCTTCTCTGGCGGGGGCTGGCTGTTAGGATTTAGGTTTTCGTATGATACAAAGTATTTATAATAATTATGAGTTGATCTGGGACGTCTATCGCGATCGATCTCATCCATCCGATCACGCCTAAAGAGGAAACGAATTTGAACCGTTCATCACGATTAATCTCGACCGTCCGATCGCGCCTAAGGTGAAAATAGATCTAGGTCGTCCACGCATGCAGGATCGATCCTGGGTCGTTCGATCGCGGGACACATGGATCGCCAGCGTGGCCTCCCGCGTGGCATTGACATCAGTGCACTTGACCATGTAACGGCTTCGATTCGTCGAGGTTGTTGACTGAGTAGTGTACGTGACTGAACTTTTTATATTTACACTTCTGCCTTCTATTTTTAATTTTTCTTTAAAAAACACTCATTGAACTCAATTTTTTACCAATTCTTCTCAAAATTATTTTCAATTTTGTTCCTAATTCGTCTTTCTCAAAAAATTCAGTCAAATTAAAATAAAATAATTTTTTTTAATTATATATATATATATTCTATAATCTGTAAAATTATCCCGGACCAATTTTTTGGACTCGGGTGTTACACCAACTATTGTATACAAATTACAATATAGTGATGAGTTATATTATAGAAATTTTAGTATTTTAAATATTACATTTTAATGGAAGTAATTTATTTCTAATTTAAATTTAAAATAAAATACCGATATATATATACATATATATATATGCACACAGGCGCATACACGTACTTGTAGCTGAGTTTTTGGCCAAGGATGTTTGCTCATTTTTGTGGTTCTAAATTGTGGAATGCCCAAAATCATATACAGATATATATATATATATATATATCTATACACTAAAAATTAATAGTAACTTACATATATTTATACTCTTTCTAAAAATTGTGGACCCATATGGGACTAAGACTGTACACAAATCAACTTTCGTTTTTAATGCAGTTTTTGAGTTTATAACCTCTTTTTATCCACTTTCATTTTCTCAATTACTACTTAGATATTGACATGATTATGGATTTTGGGCCACTACATTCGAAAAGCTACGGCTACTTTTTATTACATGAATATATATATATATATGTACATGAAATTTCAATATATATAATATTAAAACAATTAATAACAATGAAATTTTAAATCTTTAAATATTATTTTGTATTCTTAAAAAATTTCGTTTTGGGTATTATATATATATATTTTATAAATAAATAAATATTAAAAATAACAATCACAAAATATTTTAACATGAGAAACGAAATATAAATTCTTATAATTTTTAATTTTATTAAATTTAATATTATAAATTAACTACTATTAATTTATAAAATAATAATCATATACATTTCAAATAAAACATAAGGTCTTAAAATGGTAATATCAAACGTAGTCCTCAATAAATCATTAAATTTGGCCGTAGAATAATTTTTATAATGATTTTTGTAATCGTGACTTGTTAACAAGAAAGGAAAAAAAAAAAAAAAAAATGGTGCAAAGGCACATGAAGCCACATGGATCATCACTTCACATCGTACGAAATAATAAATGATGGGATTATCAAATTTCTGCAATCATGAAGTGAAATTTGAAATTGTACTATTTACACTTAATTTATTTACGTTGAAACTGTGGAAAGAGATATTTTAATAAATATATAAACTTTTATTTAAAAAATAAATAATTATTATGTACACTAATAAAGTTCTGATTGTTTTGTAAATTTATTTTTTATTAAAATTATAAAAATACTCATTTGTTTAATTTTAGAATAATTATATTTTTTTATAAATATTTATTAATTGATTATAAAAATTAATTATAATATAATATAAATAATTTTTAACTAAAAACATGTAGAAAGGCACAATTTACCTCAACTCGTAAACTTAATTAAGTGTAATGTACATTATTATTAAAAATTTAATTGTATTATTATTGGTTTATAAATATTATTTAAAAAAATATAACTGTGGTAAATAGTTGAAATCAGATTCTGTATTATATTTTGTTTTTTTGAAAATAAGTCTTTCATATATGATTCTTTCTCGCTGCTCCACAAATTCGAATATTACACTCCTTGACTACTTTCCTTTTTTAATTAATAAACATAATTTAATATATAAAGCGTTATTAAACTAATTGATGTTTCTTTACTGCTCAGCTTCTTACACGTGTCGTATTCTAGTTGCTCGATGATAGAGAGTCCCGTCACAGTGCTGTCCAAGGAGCAAACGCCGATCCCGTAAAAAAGTCAAAGGACAAAAAGCTACGCGTCAAGAATGCAGCAAACAGTAAAAGCCAGGTGCTAAAGCGAGCAATGATCCCACGCGCGAGTGATGCAACGCTTGCGATTCACAATGACACGCGCGGGAAAAACAGGTGAGAAGCAAGGGTAGAACGGGAAAGGAAAAGGTGCCGTGCTTTAACGGCATAAAAGTCCTCAGAGCCACCCTGTACATAGACTACCCAGTTCCCTACTACCTGTTCATACATTACTTGCACAACAAACACCACAACGTATTCACACACCACTTTGCACAAACAAAACACACAATCTTCTCTCTTTATTTTTCCTTTTTTTTTTTTTTCTCTATTTGCTGCAAAAATTTCAGGGAGCCGAGTCAGGGTCGAACCTCTCTTCATTCATGGCGTATTGAGTAAACAGAACAAAAGAAAGGAAAAGAAAAGAAGGAGAAAGGGTGTGGATGTGATGTCATCGAGATTTGCGCTGCAGAGAGAGAAAGGGAGGATCTCCAGCAGATCAGGTTGATTTAAAAGCAAAGGCGGCGAGAATTTATTGATATGATATTTGATAAAGAGCATTAACCTCGCCTCCTCCCTACATTTCCATTTTTTCTCTCTCTCCAAACAGTCCGTTTACTCTCTCCCTGACGCCATCTTTTCTCATCTCCCTTTGTTTAGTCTCTGTTGCGATTTTCCTGTAGGGGATGATTTACTCCTTGTAGCTGTACGTACTCTCTCTCTCTCTCTCTCTCTCTCTCTCTCTCTCTCTCTCTCTTTCTCATTCGTTTCCACCCTACATGTTTCTTCTTTCTTAATTTTATTTCTGAAAGAAAAGGAAATTGCTAATTGGTCTTGTATATCTAAAGAGAGCGTCATCAGTGTCATCATAATGGCTGGAAATGAAATGGGAGCAGCGTGAAATTCGAGGAGCTGGTTCATGGGGGAAGAGGCATGGCATGGGAAGGCGGGGGTTGGTTGTCGTCTCAGTCCAATCACCAATATTCATAAATGTAGCGTGTTCTAGAGAGATCGAAAGGGGAGAACAGTAACTTCTCCGTAAAAAAGGTGAAATCACCCTGTTCTTTGGTCTCGGTTTGTGAGAGGGAGATAGCCTTGGACTCTTGGGTATTTTGTCCTTTGTGTGGTGTTTGGTGTTAACGGGCTGCTTCAGAGGAAACAGAGCTCTGCTTCGTGTACACGCCTGAAGGTTCGTCTTGTTTTTTCTTGGGTATTTTACTCTGGGGGTATTTTGGGAAAGAGAAAGATGAAGTTTATGAAGCTAGGTTCGAAACCTGATACGTTTCAAGCAGATGGCAAATGCACCAGGTAGGATTAAGCATGCTGCTCCCTTCATTTGCTGTTAAATTTCCCTGCTGTTTTGCAAACTAGTAGGCATGCCAGTTTTTTTTTTAATGCTCAGTTTCTCTATTTCTTTGTTTTAATTTTCTTAGTGCCCCTTCAACCTTGGGCTTGTTTTCTTTTTTTTTTTTTTTGGTTGCTGTTTAGTCTTTATCTTGCTATAATGATTTGTTTGCTCATGCTTAAGCAATCTGCTCGTTTCTTGGAAGTGCTTTTGTTTTGGTGAAATTGTCTGGATTTCTTCGCGTTTATATATATATATATATATATATATAGTTGTACTCTTTTGAGATGCATATTACGTATTAGGAAAGTATTTTTTGTGGGCATTATTTTTGTAATGTTTTTAGAAATTTGGTTGTTGTTGCTATAGTTCCAGGCAGAGGTTTAAAGAGGACAAGTTAATGAAAGATCAACCACACCTATTTAGAGAAAAATCATAAATCTCAAGGAACTAAAAAGCTTTTCCTCAGTTCCTTTCTGGAAGTATATATTTATTTGTGCAACTTTATGATTCTCATTTGTTATTATCATTATTTTTATTATTATTTTTGTGGGGAGAGAGAAAAGAGAAAGAGAGGGGCTTATCTGAGATGGTGGTCCAGCTGTTCAAACTGTCCTCTTTTTCATGAGTTGGTGGTCCAAATGTGGGAAAGGTATAGGGCATAGGACATCACTATGAGAATCTCTTTCTATGAAATGCTCATGCTGTGAAATGTAGCATTCACTATCCACCTAACATCGGGGTTCTCCATCTCTGAACATAAAGTGATTGGTGGTGTTACAGGAAACTTGGATTTTACCTGTTGGCTGCTGCATGTGAAGATTGATATGTTTCATCTTTTTCCTTATCAAGACCGTAAAGGATCACATGGAATTGTTACTGCTTTGATTTTGCCGAGTTAGGACCTCTAAGTTGATAAATTTTGATGATGTGCATTGTGCCTACTCTTAAGGCATTATATCCCCGCAGTTTGGACCCCTAGTTTGATAATCTATGATGAATTAGAGATAAAAAAAAAAAAGAGCTTTCTGATGAATGCTTTTTGCGTAAGGATAATTCTCTTTACTGATAGATTATTTCTCACTGTATGTATGCAATGACCAATTGAGACCTCTACTTGTAGCTGAAACAGAAATCAGTTACTGAATCGGACCTGAGTGAGTGTGTGGTCATGGTGCCACCATTTTTTCACGGATCGACCGTGGAATAGTCTTTAGAAAATCGGTCCCCCCCCCCCTCTAGCTTAATGAGATTTGTTTGGACTATCCTAGCTGATCCTTGTGGTTTCTTTTTTGGAAATTGTTCTTATGAAAGGTATGGTTTTATGTGGACCTATAAACTGGAATTGGGTAAATAGGGGTAGCCCAATGTCGTTAATGTCCAAGGATGTTGTTTACATTCTCTTTCATCTACGCAATGACTTTCTAAAGTCAGGCTAGTGGCTTTGAGTATCATGGTTGCACTTCATATTATGTCTGACTTGTTTCATGCATTTATTATTATTTTTTTTCTAAAAAAACATAATCCAGTGCAGAGTAACTATTGGGTTTTGACTGATTTAAGATTTGAAAACGTTCATTTATTGTCACCAGACTGCAGACACTGTATTGAGCGAACCTAGTAAATAATTGGTTAATATGCCTAGTCAGCATTTGGATGTGTCAAATACATCTTCATGTAGTTGCTGAAGGACGGGGTTTGAAATTTGTGCACTAATATCTGGAAACTATTGTTGGATAGGTGGATGATAAACAGACATTTCCCTGTTATCTTTTCCTCTCTGAATTGCAATATTTGCCATATTACATTTATTTATTGCTCCAGTGTGGGCTTAATATGATTCAGCTGCCCCTGCAGGTTTGTGACTTCTGAACTGGCAACAGATATCACCATAAATGTTGGTGAAGTGAAATTTTACCTTCATAAGGTATATATTTCTTGTCATACTCTTTCTGCCAACAAGTTGGATATATAAATTCTCTTTTGATGGTTAATTTGTAATTTTTTTTTTATATTTTAGTAGGCAGCAATTAAATTTTGAAAAATTCATGGGAAGTTCATATCATTTTTTTGTTAGCTTTTATCCAGTAATTAGGAATTAGTTTGTCTGTCTCTTCACTCGCATGAATTATGGATCTTTACAAGATAACTGGGATTCAGTTTTTGGCTTGGCATTATAACTCCTACCAATTAAAGGAAAATACTTGATACGGATTCAGTTTTTGCTAAATTAGGTGAAACACTGTTATCATATTAAAAAATCTTCAAATAAGTTCCTATACATTTCAAATACACCTGAATAGATCATTATAAGATCACTGGGATTCAGTTTTTGGCTTAGCATTATAACTCCTACCAAGAAAGGGAAAATACTTGACATGGATTTAATTTTGGCCAAAATAGGTAAAACACCGTTATCCTTTTCAAAAATCTTGAAATAAGTTCCTATACATTTCAAATACACCTGAACTTCTAAATAATGAAAAATGTTATGTTATTTGCCAGTAATTAAATGTCATCTGTAGATAGCATTTTAGTTCTTCTTTGTTTTTGATTTCTCTAATAATTTAAGATATTATTTTATAAAAAATAACAATATTATGTTATTTTCCATGTCAGCTGCCGCAAATGCAAAATTTCACATCACCTGCCACACACACACTAGCTACCAGAAAACATATATTTTTAACATCGTTAATTTTTTCATCTACCGAAAGATTTATTTGAGCGGAAATAAAAAACTTCACATGGAGAGCAGTTTTTTTGAATATTTTTAAATAATAGAAAGGTGTTTTACTTATTTTGGCATTTTAGTTTTCCTAAGAAAATGATTCAAAGCAATTATCCCTTTGTCCACACAAGCATTGGATTGTTGAGAAACTTATCAAAACTTGATATGTTAAACTTTTTCTTATATGATTACCTACATAATTAATTGCTTACTGGAATCGGTTCCCTCACTGAAATCAGTGGTTGAAATAGTGATTTATGATTTGATGCTTCTGTTTATGTTTGCAGTTTCCTCTTTTGTCTAAGAGCAATCGGTTGCAAAAACTAGTTATGAAGGCCAATGAAGAGAATTCTGATGAAATTAATATGGCTGATTTTCCTGGAGGACCGAAAGCATTTGAGATTTGTGCAAAATTCTGTTATGGGATGATTGTTACGCTTAATGCTTACAATGTTGTGGCTGCTCGTTGTGCTGCTGAGTATCTTGAGATGACTGAAGAGGTTGATCGGGGGAACTTGATTTTTAAGATTGAGGTGTTCCTCAATTCAAGTATCTTTCGCAGTTGGAAAGATTCCATTATTGTTCTACAGACTACCAAGTCTCTTTTACCATGGTCTGAAGATTTGAAGATTATTGGAAGATGTATAGATTCCATTGCATCGAAAACCTCTGTGGATCCGGCAAACATCACTTGGTCCTACACATATAATCGGAAATTATCTGTGCCTGATAAAATAATTGAGGATGGGGTTAAGTTCCAAGAGAAAAACGAACCTGTTCCAAAAGATTGGTGGGTTGAAGATATATGTGAACTTGATGTTGATCTGTACAAGCGGGTTATGATTGCTGTCAAGTCAAAAGGAAGAATGGATGGAATCGCGATCGGGGAAGCACTGAAAACTTATGCAGTTAGATGGTTGCCAGATTCTGTAGATGCTGTGATTTCTGACACTCATGCCAAGAGGACCAAATATCTAGTAGAAACAATTGTTTGTTTACTTCCTTCAGATAAGTTTGTGGGTTGTTCGTGTAGTTTCTTACTGAAATTGTTGAAAGTTACCATTTTGGTTGGAGTAGATGACTTTGCACGGGAAGATTTGATGAAGAGGATTAGCTTGAAGTTGCACGAGGCTTCTGTTAGGGATCTATTACTTCCAGCACGCCCTCCTCAGACCACTTTATATGACATTGAAATGGTGCGATGCATTTTGGAACAATATATGATGCAAGAAAAATATAATCGCGCCTCAGATGACAAAAGCGAGAGGGGAATCGATGATTTTGTTTTAGGGCATGGATCATTGTTGGCCATTGGAAAATTAATCGATGGGTATCTTACACAGATTGCACATGACCCTAATCTTACCCTCTCAAGTTTCATTGACGTGTCTCAGTTAATTCCAGAGTCTGCAAGGCCAATTCATGATGGTCTGTACAAGGCCATTGACACCTACTTGAAGGTAAGACTTTTACACTTCAATGCTCCTCAGTAAATTGCAATTGCAACCCAAACTAATGAAATGCACCTTGTTAATGTGTTATCAGGAGCATCCTAGCATGACAAAAGCTGAACGGAAAAAGATATGTGCAATGATGGATGTCAAAAAACTAACGACAGAAGCCTCAATGCATGCCGCACAGAATGAACGGCTCCCACTGCGAGTTGTGGTACAAGTTCTCTTCTTTGAACAGATTAGAGCAAATGCTGGGGTTCAGGCCCATCATAACAATCACCATGGCATGTCAAACTCAACAACGAACACTGACGAAGAGTGGGAAAAGAGTGTATTGCAAACTTGCAAGTCAACGAAGAAACATATGGGAGAAACAAAGATTAAAGATGAAGAGCCGGGGAAAAATGGGAAACTAGCCAAGAAGAACAGTAAGAACAGCAGAAGTGGTGTACAGTTGCTGCCATCTCGCTCGAGAAGAATATTTGATAAGTTGTGGGTTGTAGGCAAAGGGCATGGAGAGAGCAAGAGCTCAGAGACGTCAGGAAGTTCACAGAGTCCAACCTCTTTTGCTCCCGGGGATACCAAGTCTTCTGGTTCGTCTTCCAGACATAGGAGGCACTCCATATCGTAGAGAGCGATTGTGGAGGTCTGGGTTAGGACTCAGTGGTTAAAAAGCAGAGCAGCAGATCCAACTGTTGAAAGTGTAAAAAGAGGTAGGATTTTGTTGTAGCTGGTGACGAGAGTAATTTTTGCGCCTCTGCTTTAAGGTTTTATATCTTTCTTTAGTAAGGAATTCTGATGATGCAGGAAAATGTAATCAATTTTAGTCTTTCCTTTAATCAAATCCCAATTGTAAGATTATGCATCTTTTATATGAAGATTATTGAAATTTATCCTCGCTTTTTAGCCCTTTATACCCATTTGAAAATTTAAAAACTATTTACTTAAAAAAAAAAATGTAAGCTTCTTAAATTAACATAAAAATTTGATTTTTTTTCCATAAATATTTTTAAAATTTTAAGATAGATTATTAACAAATAGAAGATTAAAATTAGCAAAATGAATGCCAAGAAATCTTTGTTTAACAGCGTAATCGTTTTTAGTAAAGGTAATTCTTGTAAATTTGATCCCTGAAATCAAAAACAGTATATTTAAAAAATCTTTACAGGCATATTCGTTGACCTTCCCTGTACGTTGGCCGTCTCATCTCTTATCGATGAGTTTAATGTCTACAACTCAGACTGATAAACGAGACAAAAACGAAGAAGAAGAGAGATGGTTTTCGTATTCAGAATCAGCGTATTGCTTATTCTCTTTCTCTCCGCCACTCTATCTTTACCAAGAGTCTCTGGATCATCTCCACTTTGCAGAGCATGGCTCGTCCAGTCTATCCCCACCGACATGCCTCACCTCCCTCGCGTCCCCGGCGTTCTCTCCACCGGTAATCCTCGAATGTTTCATTATCTCTTCCTCTCTTTGGTTCCCGAGAGAACCTCTTCGTAGGCAAGTAAATGAAACTGGAAATTCTGTTCATGCTTTTACCGTTGGTTATGTGATTAAACGTTCACAGGACATGTGTTCAAGTGGCTGGCCGGTAACTCTACAGAGAGATTGGATATAATTGCGCAGTATTGGCAGCTAAGAGCGCACCCTAACGATCCTCGCTCCGGGGATTACGGTTACTCAAAATCTGATATGCAACGTTTTGGTGCGCCTGTGGGTTCCCAGGTTTATAAAGCAATTGATGATGCTGCTGATCGCAATGTTAGTATCAGGCATGTATTTCGATTCTTAGCGGCTTTTGATGAAGATCTTTTCGTTTATATGTTTCAAGTAGCAGCCTGTTAGATTAATTCCCTTATTATAATTTGAATCATTTGCTTCTCTCTCCAAAACACTTTTGAAAGTTTGCCCACAAATCTAGTTGTTGAGAACATTCAAGGTGAATGGTTGTTTGGTGAGAATTTTGAATGTAGTTTGTACGAGTCTATGATTTTATGTATCTCAGTAAATTATAGTTAAACTTGATGGACTGGACAAAGGACATGTATGGGATTAATGCGATTATTTCACACTCTATTTGGCCAACAACTAAATTCTGCAAAACAAAGTGTAATACATTTGAGAATTCATATTTTTATGTTTAGAATAATTTCATTCTATAAAAATCATTTTGAAATGAATTAAGTGTTGAATAACTAAATGCATTTTAAGTAGTAATAAGTTCAAAGGTATTTGGAAATGAACCTGGAAGGTTGGAGAAAGAGCTTCAGATATTCCACATAAATTTTAAAATGTTGCTGTTTATATTGAGTATCAATTTTCATTTCCAAATGAATTCCATTTCAATTAATCTTTTCCAAACAGAAGCCTAGTGCTTAGTAATGCTTAGATGGATTCCATTTTACCTTGTATTCTTCTGTGAATATAATTCTAGGACTGTACTAAATTTTTTCGTGTCTGTAGGTGTTTTACTGTCTAAATTATATATTTCCCATACTTTGTGCTATTGAATTTCTTTGCAGGCTACTATCACACTCAGGAGTGTATCCTGACTACACCAAGGAACCTTCGGACCTTGCTTCAGGAAGGCCAAATGTTAAGAATGCAACTTTATTACTTGGTAAATGGTGGGGTTCAGGAATAGTCCATACAAAAGTTTGGATATCAGATTCTCGGGACGTCTACATTGGGTCTGCAAATAATGACTGGAAATCTCTAACACAGGTTTTAAGAATAATGCAAATTAAGCTTCAAACTTGCTCATTCTTCATGTATTTCGTTGTTATAATGCTGTTGTCTTTAAGGTGGCAAAAGATAAATATTTTGTAGCAATGCCTAGGATATGAATAGTCAATCCTAGCAACAGCTTGGATACCAAAAGCACCCATATCATCTCTCCCCTCTCTCAAGCTCATTCTCTCATGCTACATCATGAATCTGCAGTCTGAACATTTTCTTTCATAACTTATCCTAGTTCGCTTGGAGATTATTTTGATGTATATCCTGGATTGTAGGAAGGAAATCTTAAACTAGAGGAATGTGAGAGAAACCTTAAGAGGGTCCAAATCACTGACATAATATGGATTGATCAATGAATTTTTACTGCTAGAATTTGTGTTTTAGACTTAGGGTTGATAAAAAGATGTCTTCTTTAGTTACTGTTGGTTTTTAGTTTATCCTTGTGGTATGTTCTGATCAACAGATTCTTATAGGTAAAGGAAGTTGGAATTTACCTTACCGGATGTCCAAGAGTGGCAAAAAAAGTCATGACCTACTTTGATAACCTGTGGAAGTTGACAACTCTAGATTCCTCTTCTTATACAAGAATAGTATCAGACCAGCAATGGCAGGTTAATAGGACAGTTCCATGCTGGTCCCATTTTCTTGATGCCAAAGAGAGATGCAGGTATTTCCATGATCCCTTGTTAAAAATCTATTTTGGTTGAGTTGGTGATCTGTTTTCACATGTGTATAACGCGTAAATATCACTCAATTTTGACTTATTTTTCACATGAAGAGATTATTACCTGGAAATCTCATATAAGATCACAAGGAAACTAGAAAAAGAAAGCATTTCACACGTGATCATCTAAGCTAGTACTTTTTTCAATGCATCCATAACCAAATTAACAGTCTGTTTTGAGTATATGAACAGCTTCCATGAGACATAACTTCTCTATTTACAAGTTATATTGCTTAAACTTCAATTCACAGTTTGCAAATAAAGATGAAGCATTATGATTAGTTACCAATATATGTTACTGTAGGTCTCCTCTTCGGCGATCTGTGGAGACTCCCCATGTATCAGGCTATCCTCCAATCTCTGACCCTTATTTGTTTAAACTTAAATTTGAGACACCTGGATACAATTATTCAAATCTGCAACCTCAATTCAGCTATCTCTCCTTTGCTCCACCAGAAGTGAGTTCTCATTTTGTTAAATCTTTTTGCATCCTATGTTATGATGTCTCTTCTCCATAATGAATTATAGGCATTTATGGAGAAACTGGATTTTTTTTTTTTTTTTTTTTTTAAGAATCAACTCCAAGCCTGTATGTTAGAAAGAAACTATAATGAACAAAACCTAATAAGATGTAAAAACATCATTCTACCCTACGCTGATGACTGAATAAACTACTTGTATCCCATAGACAACTGTAAAGGTCCGGATTTTAAGAGAAAATAAAATTATAAATTAAGTGCGAAAGCGAAATAATAGAATTTAGAGTTTACATTTCTTATATAATAATTTAAAATAGTCAATAGGGTTATGCGAATGATCATTTTAAAAGAAATTACAAAAATCAAGAAAATAAACAAAAATGTAATAACTGAGCATTTTAGAACGACTTTTACTAACTTTTGAAAGGAATCCGGGTGGTGAATTATTCACAACCCTCTTGTTGGTTGGGATCTGCATCTTGGTTTTCTTGATCTGAAATAATTAATGAAAGAGTGAGTTACACTAATCCAATAAGAATATCACACTACTCACTGATACAGAAACTGAAAGTTGGTAAAAATCATAAAAACAACCAATGAAGCTCTTGATTTAAGTAAATTCATTTATTATAAGGAAAACTATTTATTGCATATATTTACCGTTGCAAAATTTTCAAAATCGACCTATAGAGACAATAATTCAAATAACATTTCAATCTTATTTTCAAGTGAGTAATAGTAACAACTTTCCATTTTTATTTGTCTACTGGTATCCTTGAGGGTTCATGAGGATGTCCTACTACACGTGAACCAATATTTACCGTTGTCAACTAACTGGTCGTCCCCATATCCTATCCGGTATAAGTGTCAAAAATACCATCCTTCAATACTCCGTCCAGTATGAGGGTGAATCAGGTCGTCTTCATACCCCATCTGGGATGAACGCTAAAATACCAATTCTCGATACCTCATTCGGTATGAAGCAACGTTCATGGTAGAATTTCCTATGTACACAGTCCGTCTACCATTTTCCAGAATATCCAGTGAGGGTACCATTCATTAATTCACATGACCAATCAATTTTTTTTTTTTTTCATATTAATTACTAATTTCACAAATCAACCGTAAATCACGCAAGACAAACAATATATATATTAAGGAAGCACAATTGAATCAATTAACCATTCCAGTATATTATCATATATTTAAAGCTGTAAATTCAACCATCAGTTAAACATGACAACAAATAAATAACTAACTGGTTTCCGGCTTTATTAGTAACCTATAATTATTCTCAAATTTTTCTAAATTATACAAAATACCATATTACCGATTATTAAGCTTCA